AATCTCTAAAAGCTTCCCAAAATCGATCAAAAATGGTTTATTTTCACTTTTTTATACTCTGTAGCCAGATTGTATTTACTAAAATAAAATTTCTAAAAAAATTTAATGTTTTTCTGCAAAAAACACATTTTTTACCCAAAAACACATTTTGACACCTATTTTTTCTTGTTAAATCTCAGTATCAATTGAGAAACCATTTACCTTTCAATTAGTTAACATGAATTGCCTGCTCGTCAATAAGAGGTCATTATATTTTCAACGCATTGATTCTATTCTACATTCATTTCACTATGCCAACCACAAGAGAAATCTCTAAAACCTCTCCAAAATCACCCAAATTGATCAAAACTGATTTATTTTCACTTTTCCATAATCAACCAGACTGTATTTACTAAAATAAAATTTCTAAAAAAAAAATTTAATTTTTAAAAAAAAATCTGCAAAAAAACACATTTTTTACACAAAAACACATTTTGACACCTATTTCGTCTTGTTAAATCTCAGTATCAATTTAGGAACCCTTTTCCTTTCAATTAGTAAACATGACTTGCCTGCTCGACAAAATATAACATGTCATTATATTTTCAACCCCCTGATTCTAGTCTAAAAGGAAATACTTGTTTATATATTTCAATTGTATAGTGTAAATGAATATTTGAAATATTACACATTTGCGATGTTTCAACAAACATGATTCAATACCATCTTATTTGAATTAACTCTTCCCATGTGTATCTTTCTTTATCATCAATGGGGGTTTCGAAAGTGCCTTATGTAAAGGAGTTTGCTGTAAATGATCTTTCGAATAGTGTTATATGTAGTAGGTATTGATACAGGTACCACTGTATACAGAGTGCATGCAAATAATAATTTTCTCCAATGGTTTGGCCAAACATTTGTTGCATTTTTTGTTCATTTCAAATTTTATTGGATTGTTTTTGCTGATTGGAATTTTTATGGAATAAACAGTTTAATGCGTTGGGTTTTACCCTTTGACAATATGGCCTTGTGTAATTATGGCCTTGTGTAATTATGATATTGTCACGTACTCGATCATTCTATATTCTCAGTCAATACTTCGGGCTTTGTATGAAAAACCGTATACCTTGTACCCACGTGCCGGCGTACTTGGGGCATGATACATTCTTTGAAGAGTTCAATTCTAACGTTTCAGATTATTCTGATCATATGAATTGTAGGTGCATTAATGCACTTGTAGACCTACGTGTATGTCTTATAGATCCAACATTTTTCTAGTCATAAATAAGGCCAGAATTGCAAAATTGTTTACCTTTGCTATTTCGATAAAAATTGCCTAATTGAAATGCTCGTTCACTATAGAACCAATCTACACTAAAACGTGAATTTACGATTCCTGAGACTAAAATTATCTTTAATCATGCTGTGATTAAATAAAATGATACCCTGACATATTTAAAACTTATTTAGAATGGATTTTTCTCTATTGAAAAGTCCTTTGAATGGCGCTATTTTGACAATCAATGAAAAACAAAAAATTAACAATTCTGGCTTTATTTTATGACTCTGTATCTATCTATCTTTCACTAGACGAAGTGCACATCTATGGATACTATGAATGTATTTATACCTCAGATAGCATTAAAATTGAATAATCTTTTAAAACTTTAAAAATTGATCCCTTCAAAAACTGCATCACCACCCACGTACATGGGTATGAGGTACGAAGCCAATACTTCGTAAAGAAATCATGAAATAACAACATGTAGAACAAGGCATTGCCATTACAAAATGTCATCACCGTGTAGTTCAAGTCAAATCTTGAAAAGAAAATGATTATATGAAGCAAGTTGAAAAATGCCTTTTTGAACTTTTTGAACTTGAGAGGTCAAATGTCAATTCAAAAGTCAGATTTGACTTCTGAGAACTTGTAGGTGATTTTGAAAATTCGGTCAATTCGAAGCAAGTTGAAAAATACCTTTTAGACCCTCTTTACTTTGAGAAGGTCATTGAAGGTCAATTGTAAAATTTAAAGTCAGATTTGAATTTTTGAAAAATTGGTCAATTTAAGACCGTTTTCACCTTAAAGAATATGAATGTACAGTAGTAAGAAAGAGGAGTGCATTCTTGTTGTATTGTTTTTGAAGAATGGACACTGCAGCTATCTAAAACCAGTGTGGCACAAAACATGATTGACAGTGTTTGGCTCAATATTTACACCTTGACTGTCACATGCAGTGCACCGAAGCTGTTCTTATTAAACCATTTTCAATCACTCAATAGTTGAATTGTAAACACAAAATAAATACAATTTTCAATGTACCTGATACATGCAGTGCATTGAAGCTGAACCAATCAAACCAACCCACTTCTCTACACATTTACCACATAGTTAATACAAAAGAATTTTTCTAAACTTGGATCATGGGTCAATTACCCTTCATAAGAATCAGTGTGGAGTTTAAGTTAGATAAACTATTCGAAATGGGTCATATGAGAACTAATAGCCTCACGCCAAGCCCCTCTGCTATTATTTCTCATAAAACCCAGTACTCATAGTTTATCCGTAACTGAATGAACGATTAGAGGATTCAGTGACCTTCTATAAAATTACAAACTGAACATGTTGTTATACCTTAGATGACTACCTGGTGTTATTCACTAAAGGGGGTCTCATTATAGGTTGGCACATAAAAATGCCTTTGGGTTCAATGACTGCCACTTGGTTCAGGGTTGTTGCTTTTAGGGGCTGTAATTAGAAATAGAGGTTTTGGTTTTAATAAGGGATTCCAAACTTATCTTTAGGCCATAGGTCTATGTAAAAGTAGTAAAGAGTAAACTTATGCCTTCCTTCCTACTACTTTTCCCTAGGCCTATGCTGTAGGTCAATCGACGGAATTATGATTACGCTTAGGGGTGCTGTGATTCCAGAAATCAATAAATGCTGCATCTAATATAACACCATTCTTGAGTCGATTTGACCTAGGATGAAGAAACTACATAGGTGACCGCGGGCTTTGAAACCCCATTACAAGTAGTAATAGCGAATTCAACTAACAACTGTCAGATCAACCTACTATTTCATGGCTCATTAAATATAAATAGTACCTGCCACTATTTCATTCATATTAAAATGAATTTGCCATCAAAAGTAGGTTAAATCATCGCCTTTTACCCAACATATGACATCATAAATACTATCAAAGTGCAGTCTAATACCGAGTGAGCCAAAAATCGAGCCCAAACTAATTCCGCATCTGTTAAAATGTTATTTCGCATAATAAAACCTTGTTTAATGTTCTTTCATTTTACTAAGTTTAATTGGCCCTGCCCCAATAGTCGGGATTTTATGGCTATAAAACGAAACATGGTCCAAAATGCCAGCCTCATCTCATGACTACGGGCTATCTCTGAGATAATGTCAACTCCTACAACAAGTAGGAGAACATTTTCTGTGACCATGAACTTACATCCTCAACCGACCAGTGCAGGTCTGCCTGAAGGGACGAGGCTGAAATTTGTAGAATGGCCATAGAATTGTGACCTTGAGGAATGGACCCATGAAACATGGTAAAATGCAAAAAGATTTTACATGGTAAAATTAACTAAATATGATTTCAACTCATACTGGATGAATGAGTTAATAACATTTCTTTGGATGACATTTTTGCCTCACCCTGTAATTCATTTTATTTTCACACTTATTCATTTCAGCCTGCCCTAATATAACAAAGAATCTAGGTTGAATAGCCAAAACCAGGTACATGTAATTACAAAGAACTATTCAGTATATAAATAGCTATACATGAATGACACAACTGTTTTATACACAAACAATAAAGGTTAAATACAGGATTATAATCCATAACGCTGAGTAAGTCACTATCTGAGTGTTGCAACAAACAAATTATTTATGGCACTTAGCTGCCCTCTATTTTGTAATTGTATAATATTAGTATGAAGCACTTTAAAATATCAGAAAAAATACGAAAAAATCACGAAAAAAATATCAAAAAGTAGGTTTACAATTAACTTTTCCCCTTTACAGTTTAAATCATGTCTTAAAGTTCAATACAACTTTGCACTAAAAATTATTAAAAAGGCCTGCACTTTTGGTGAAAATTGCATCTGAATTAGGGAAAATTGGTGAGGATGGGTGGATTAGGGACAGCTTAAGAGATAATTCAATCAACTTGATTATCATCCTTATGTCATTTATTGAAGATAAGACATGGATCTAACAGAACCATTTGATTTTGTGGTTAACTTATTCTTCGAACTAAAGATATAGCCCTTTGAAAATGGCTTGCCATACCTTACATGCTCTTTTGGATAATTATGTCACCAATTTTTTTCAAATTTTCAATTGATTGATCATTTTGCTCATCGGTTACCCGAATCACTCATAACACCACTAGTTTTATTATGATTTAACCCCCACCCCTTGAAATGTTGATTCGCTTTTCATTTGATCTCATAAAAATCAACATTCATCACTCAGGATATGGTAGTTTACCCCCTCCCCTTTAATGAAATTAACTTTATAATTCTGCAATGTTTTTGTTGACATTTTGACATCATCCCTTATAGAGGGATTTAGCTAGGTCTCAGAGGCATAACATTCTGAACTATGAACACTTTAATTTATGTGTATTATTCATATGTGTTTTATGGCACTTCAGATAATATTGCTCTCGGTATACTTAAACGTACAAGCATAAGTAAAGTGAGAATTAGATATATCGAGAAAACACACTTAAATCGTAATATTGATATATTTTAGGATTGTCATATTATAATTGCTCAGTACTGCATTTCTACTTTCTTGCGACGTAATAGTTGTTTATTTGATTTGGAGTGCTATTGAAAATAGCCTATTTTCAATTTATATAACTTTCAATGTTACTCAACTTTTTCATCATATTTACTGTCTGAGTCTCTCTTTAAAGTCTAGCTTTTAAAAATGATAAATAAGCAATCATTATTTCTTTCTTCTTCAATGCTTTTATTGTGTTTTACAGGTTACATCATTAGCTTCGTGCTATCATTTCTAATAATGAAGACAGCTAAGCATGAATGATAAAAAGGACGAAAAACAGTTTTAGCCAAAAGATGTACATCAGAAAACACTGTGTGATACTTCTTAAGGAATGAAGGAACAATACGTCACAGTGTAGATGCTACACTAAGAGGATTTATTATCTAGTACAATGTTAGTGTTTCAGAAGAGGGACTCGGAGCTGAATACTTCAGGGAGTGAGGTAAGAATCTTATATTAGTTAGAAGTATTTTTATTTCTGACCCACCAAGGATGTTTTCTCTTCAGTGGCTGCTAATTTAGTTTTGTTTTCACAAATTTTTGCCCAAACAAATTATCCATATTTTGATGAGTTTCTTATTTTTAAGAGTGCAAATGATTCATTCATTGAATGCCCCAAGTATGTTATTAAAATATGAGTTGGGTGTGGTACCCGCTTTTTCATTGCTGGGGAGATCAATTGCAAGTGATGCCATAAACATGGAAGATGGAAGGAAGAGAATGAGGCAAGGGGTGGGGGTTGTACCTTGTAATGCAAATAGGGGAAACTATGTTAATGGCAAGGGGTAGCATCTGGTTAGAAACAGTGTAATGATGGATAAATGAAAATGAAAGGGAGTAAATGAGTGAGCCACAGTACATTTATTTTAAAGTAATATTTCCTGAACTGAGAATGCTGAAATCCTTATTGAAGATTTATGAAATATGAACATAAAGTAAAATCCTTATTGAAGATTTTTGAAATATGAACATAAAGTAAAATCCTTATTGAAGATTTTTGAAATATGGACACAAAGTAAAATCCTTATTGAAGATTTTTGAAATATGGACACAAAGTAAAATCCTTATTGAAGATTTTTGAAATATGAACATAAAGTAACAATTGTCATCCACCTTGTAGCTTCAAAAAATAAATAAAGTGTTAAACATACAACATTCATTGTACACTGTTTCATTCTCGCCAATTTGAGAAAATTAATAAACTAGTTCCTTTCAAATTACATTAGCCTTTTACTTTACAGAATTTAAAAATGCTTGCTTGTTAGAGAACAGGTGATTCACCCGAGTACTCTTTTGATCTCTTTGATCATAAATCAGAAATAGATAGCAGTTTATCATTTTTATAGTCCCTTTACTTTAATTTTCAAGTTTATTTGTCAATTTAAGATCTGTTATATATAACGTAACAAATCTTGAAGATAAAACTATAAAACTTGTGTGTCAAAATTAGGTATTAATAACTCACATTGACCTTGCATAAGATTTTGTACAGTACTTTGTAATATTTTGATATTATTTCAACTGGAAAACAAATTTTTATAATTATTTTATAATGATTACAATGTTTCATTTTACTTTAGACAATTTTAGTCACATATCAATTTCACCTGAATTTATGCGTAACACAATCAGTGTGTCACCCTGGCAACAGTGACTGTGTGTCACCCTGGCAACAGTGACTCAATGATGGTGATTGTGGAGCATTTCTATAAATACGTTGATGCAAAATCTAATCTGATTTACCAAAATCCAATTTTTCCTGAGGAACATATTCATTCTCAAATTGCCGAATTTTGAATTCTCAACATATATCAGTGTGCTTTAATGCCGAAAGGATCACTGTCTCTAAAAGTAAATATTATGATTTTTCACTTGTAGACTTCTACCTCTAATGATATTGCCGAGTCCACTACTGATGAGCCTGAGTCTACTAGGGGGCTATGGTCTCGCAGGGTAGAGTTCCTCCTCTCAGCACTAGGGTATGCTGTAGGCCTGGCTAACATATGGCGATTTCCTTATCTTGTGTACAGAAATGGGGGAGGTAGGTTCGATTCACAGTTGATGGATTGTGGGAAAGTCCCCTCTTTATGTATGGGGTAGGTGGTTACCTCTGTCCAAATCAAAATTCAATGGCAGGAAATTTTTTGTACCAGATATGGGTATATTTGATGTCAGGGGTGCACTTTAGTTTTAGTTTTTCCTGCAATTACTTGGTTGATAATGGAATATCAGTGAACAGTAAAGAATTCAGAAATTTTCAGTATGCATGTAGTGCACAATTATTAACATATTAAGAGCTGAACAGTTAAACAGTGTAAATTGAGACTGCAGATTTAATTCTTCTATCATATTTACATCAGTGTCACGATATAGGGTAGTGATTTTTGGGTTTTTATTTTGTGCTACTTTTGGACTTAGACATATTGTAAGATACATACAAAAATCTCTACCCTATATCGTGAAATATATCCATATTTATGGGAATTCTCTAGTGTTGTAACTCGCGGGGATTTTTGGAATCGAGTAATTCGTGTGATTTTGAGTCTGAGATCGAATAAGAATCGCGATTTTTCATCAAAAAAATAAACAAGAAAAAATCTTACCATTGCATGTCATATGGTCGTTTTTTAGTCCTTTTTTCAATGTTGTTCACTTGCACAATACCCTAGGTACGCTAGGTATATCAAGAGTTGTCCATATCTACCGATTTAAATAACATACTTACGATTAATTACGACAAAAATTGAAATATTGTTTATTTTATGTTTCCCGCCACACATTGTTGCAGCACTTTCATTTCCGGTTCTACGGACTGAATTAATCATGGAATTAAAAAATAGACTCCAAAATATTTCATTTAAATTAGATTTATTACTCATATTCATTCAAATATAAACAAATGATACACGGAACAATCATTTGTACATAGTTTCACCCTGTTTGTAAGAAAAAACAATGCATTTGACGTCAGGATTCGCTGTGAAATCGCGAATACGAATACAAATTTGCGAGTCTCAGACTCGTGTAATAATTCGCGAAATCTGAACTCCTAATCGAGCCGAATTCTATAACACCTTGGCGAGACGATTCGATGACTACGTGAGTACTTATCTACACCACTAGAATTCTCATAATTCTTTAAAACCAGCAATGTATAATGAATGACCACAATTTATCCAATTTAGTGATATTCCTCTATTTTTCAGGTGCCTTTTTCATTCCCTATTTCTTCTTTGTCCTGTGTGCTGGTATTCCCTTGGTGTTTATGGAGGTGGCATTTGGCCAATATGCCAGTCTGGGACCACTCACTATATGGAGGGTAGCCCCACTATTTAAAGGTAATAACACATCGCAGCCAAAGGGGCCACCAAGGCAGTTGTTCCATTAACATCAGTCAACAGAGGAAAATTGTCCATTGTTATTTCCAAAATCTCACATTGTTTCGTGGAATTTTGCGATTCTTTCCATCATTTTAATTCAAGTTTTGAATAACTTTGCCTCTTGCTTTTGATCATTCTGTCTATGTCAGAAATATATTGAAACCTTTGAAAAAAGGTAACATTTTACAGTTTCTGAAACAAAAAACAATTAACAAAGATTGAGTTAGAATGGAACAAGAGTAGAATGTAAGAGGCTATCTTCTTAAAGGCAGAATGATTCCCCTTCGAAACCTAATTTTTATGTGTGGGGACATATTGTTATAGTCTTCAACTTTTTATAGATACATTCATTGTTTGGTGATCAGCGGTTGGTGTTGGATATCTGTAACAAATGGCAGATGTGTGGTGAGACTGCATGTTAATGCCTTGTTTTATTATATGTAAAAGAGCTTGATGTATGTTTGTTTTTATTATAGGTATTGGCTATGGCATGGTGGCCATATCATTCCTGGTCAGCATCTACTACAATGTGCTCATATCCTGGACTCTCTTCTACCTGTTCGCCTCAATGTCCAACCCTCTACCTTGGACCACATGTGACAACTTCTGGAACACACCAGGTAGGAAATATTGAATCAAGTTTTTATCATACCTAAAAAAGTTACTCTATTGGTGTCAGCTTGACATCTCACTTTTCTTGTCAGTCATCGCCATTCCAGGAAAACAACAATTAATGAAATTAATTTTACAGATGTTACATGGTAAGAAGTTCGAGAGCTGATTAGCGCAATATTTTGAAATGTAATGATAAGATTGACTTTAAACCCATATGGTCAACAAGCCCACACTGCTATATATTTGGTAGGATATTGTTCACGCACCCTGTGCCTTGTTTTTTGCCAGTGAAACTTACTTTCAACTCTTCTCTATTCCTTTTGCACAGCTAAAAAAGCACCATGCAGAATAAGTGTGAATTTTTCCCATGCTGAATCAGCATTTCTTTTTTAAATTCTCATTAGCTCTTTATTGAAAGAGATAAATAAAATAAAACACCACATTCCTTAAAACACCACATTCCTTAAAATTGGTGGATGTTTTTTTTATGTCACCAACAAATAGTGGTGACATATTGTTATGGTATCCATTTTTTTGTGATCTGACTAGATTTTAGATTTGACCTTCTCAAGGTAAAAAAGGTCAAAAAAGGTCAAATTGTCCAATTTTTTTTCAAAATCATCTCCAAGTTCTCAGAAGTTCAAATCTGACTTTAGATTTCAGATTTGAGCAACAAGGTGTTGACATTTTGTCGTGTTAATGCCTTGTTAAAACTTAACTTTTGATGTCATACAGTGAAACATACAGCATTCTCTAAAAATTATGGATGTTTTTTTCAAATTTAATTTCAGCATGCCTTTTGAACAAGTACAACAGATTCAACTGCTCAAGCCTAAACGGAACCTTGCACTTCGACAACGGTACATGTCTCAACGTCACAGACCCCTTAGCACCATCTCAAATATTGGGTGTCGAATTGAATTTGACAAACTCAAATATAACAAAGTTCGAAAGTCCCACAGAGGAGTACTTCCAGTATGTATTTCTGCCATGATTGTTATGTAATTTTTTAATTGTTATTATATTTTCTAAAATCACTTTTCTAACATTAACCTATATGATTTTTGATGAATACATACTAGAACTAATGGAAACAGCAACTCAAAGTTTTTCACCAAACATATAATTCCTGTGTTTTTGAAATAGGTGAGGCAAATTTCAGATAGAGATAATATGCTGCTACTGTTGGACATGATTTTCAGTAAAACATAGTATTTTTCAGGAAATTCTTGGTGAGGCTTGCTCATACCCATGTTCTTTCAATAGGCGAGGTAAATTTCAGATAGCGATGATTAGACTGCCTACTGTTGGACATAGTAAAACGTAGTATTTTTCGGGAAGATTTTGGTGAGGCTTGCTCATACCCATGTTCTTTCAATAGGCGAGGTAAATTTCAGATAGCGATGATTAGGCTGCCTACTGTTGGACATAGTAAAACGTAGTATTTTTCGGGAAGATTTTGGTGAGGCTTGCTCATACCCATGTTCTTTCAATAGGCGAGGTAAATTTCAGATAGCGATGATTAGGCTGCCTACTGTTGGACATAGTAAAACGTAGTATTTTTCGGGAAGATTTTGGTGAGGCTTGCTCATACCCATGTTCTTTCAATAGGCGAGGTAAATTTCAGATAGCGATGATTAGGCTGCCTACTGTTGGACATAATATTCAGTAAAAAGTGATCCTTTTCAGGAAAATTTTGGTGATGCAGTTGGCTAACCTTTGAAAATTGTTTTCATGTAAATTCCCTGTAATATGAATAATACTGCATAATTTTGCCATGTAATGTGTTTCAGCCACTATGTGCTACAGATCACTGATGGGTTAGAGAATATAGGCACAGTCAGATGGCATCTTGCATTAGCCCTGCTTGGTTCTATGTTAATGCCTTGTATGTTAATGTGTTTTAGCCACTATGTACTACAGATAACTGATGGGTTAGAGAATATAGGCACAGTCAGATGGCATCTGGCTTTAGTCCTGCTTGGTTCTATGTTAATGCCTTGTATTTTAATGTGTTTCAGCCATTATGTTCTACAGATCACTGATGGGTTAGAGAATATAGGCACAGTCAGATGGCATCTTGCATTAGCCCTGCTTGGTTCTATGTTAATGCCTTGTATGTTAATGTGTTTCAGTCACTATGTGCTACAGGTCACTGATGGGTTAGAGAATATAGGCACAGTCAGATGGCATCTTGCATTAGCCCTGCTTGGTTCTATGTTAATGCCTTGTATTTTAATGTGTTTCAGCCATTATGTTCTACAGATCACTGATGGGTTAGAGAATATAGGCACAGTCAGATGGCATCTTGCATTAGCCCTGCTTGGTTCTATGTTAATGCCTTGTATTTTAATGTGTTTCAGCCATTATGTGCTACAGATCACTGATGGGTTAGAGAATATAGGCACAGTCAGATGGCATCTTGCATTAGCCCTGCTTGGTTCTATGTTAATGCCTTGTATTTTAATGTGTTTCAGCCATTATGTGCTACAGATCACTGATGGGTTAGAGAATATAGGCACAGTCAGATGGCATCTTGCATTAGCCCCGCTTGGTTCTATGTTAATGCCTTGTATGTTAATGTGTTTCAGCCACTATGTGCTACAGATCACTGATGGGTTAGAGAATATAGGCACAGTCAGATGGCATCTGGCATTAGCCCTGCTTGGTTCTATGTTAATGCCTTGTATGTTAATGTGTTTCAGCCACTATGTGCTACAGATCACTGATGGGTTAGAGAATATAGGCACAGTCAGATGGCATCTTGCATTAGCCCTGCTTGGTTCTTGGATCATTGTCATATTTACTCTCATCAATGGGATACGATCTGCTGGAAAGGTAGAATCATTCATTTGGTATATACATTTAGGCAGCAAATATGGTGATTAATTGAAACTTTATATGATAAAATATGAGTTATATTTGTCATTGCTGCTTCTTTACCCTTGCTTTAAAGAAAAGTTTTATTAGCAGCACTCAAGTTTTTAATATTGACAAATATGTTTTAAATATACAGTTTTATAGATAAACGAATATGTTTATCCTATGCCAAGTAGAGTTTTAGGGAGATATGTTGGTAATATGTATTCTGTAAAAAAAAATATTTTGACATTTTGACATTAGAAAAAATTGGAAAATAATGTAGTACAGAATTAGAAAATTCCACTGGGTATAGGATAAAGCAGTTATGTACGGTCGGTTTGGATATGGGGTTTATCCCTAGTGAGATTGCACATCTACCTTTTGTCCCTATGGTCCCTCAGGTAGATATGCATATCTCCCTCTGGATAAACCCCTTATCCAAAACCTGCCAGTACATAACATTTATGTATACACATATTTCCTCTTGATAAACCCTGTATCTAAAACCTCCCAGTATATAACTCTTATATATTATAGGTAGTATATGTGACTGCCACTCTTCCATACCTGCTGTTGACTGTACTGTTTATCAATGCTGTACTTTTGCCTGGAGCTTCTGCTGGGATACGATATTATTTGATGCCCGACTGGAAAAAATTGGCTAGTGGTCATGTAAGTCAACTAACTGTCTTTAATGAATTATTCTATTAAATACCAGTATGTTTACCGAATATACCCATAGTCTTCAACTTTTTTTGTGGATGGTGTTTGGCAGTCTGTGTCTGAAACAAATGACAGTTGGTGACATTTTGTATGTTAGCCTTGTCAATCTTAGTCATGAACCATAGGTGTTCACTGTTCAGATTATCTACCTTTTCAGGTGTGGGGAGATGCTGCTAATCAAGTGTTATTCTCTCTTGGACCATGCTTCGGGGGCCTCATCACTCTCTCCAGTTATAACAAGTTCAATGCTAACTGCTACAGAGACACTATTTTCATATCTTTGCTCAATTGCTTCACTAGTGTATTTGCCGGCCTTGTCATATTTGCCACGTTGGGATACATGGCAGAACTATCAGGAGTGAAAGTCGGGGATGTTCTCATTGGAGGTAAGAATTTCTCGTCATTTGTATTCTGATTTTTGTTATGATTATGCCACTTTCTAAGTAACACTATATATGAAAAATACTGGTGGCCCTGTGGACTTTTGTCCCAAAATTGATTGTAAAGGAATGAAAAGATTAAATAGTACAAACAAGACAGTAATCTTCCTTTTTATTATTGATAAATTGTCATTTTTTGTCACTTTAAGTTGTACTTTTCTGTTGGCAGCCAATCAGGCAACACACTGTCATTCACTTCCTACCTAAAGGAAATCTAGGAATAAGTCCCCATCCTAAGGTTGGCGGGGGTCTTGTTCTTCTGGCTGGCGTGGTAGGTTTAGGCCTGGTGGGTATCCCTTCATGTGGAGAAGCAGTTGGGCTAGCATCTTTTGGCTGTGTTGTTATTTGTCTTTCCCCAGTCTTACCCTCACCCCCATCATTATGGTTACCCACATCATCGTCCCCACTTAAGGGAATATCTGAGTCACTTGGACAGAAACTTATATTGGGGAAAATATTGTCTGTAAGGTATGGTGTAAAGTATGGGAAATCATTAGGGTTGTCAATGGTAGATTCATATCCCATTGTTATATATGAAGAGTTGGTTGCAATTGATAGGAAAGTATCTGATGAATTGTAGTTTTCATACTTGGTTGACTTCAGTCCTATTATAATCACATGTACGCCATTTGATTTCAATATGGCTGCCTCCTTTATGGCTTTCTTTACCTTATTTGGGTGCATGACGCCGTCGGTGATCAGGATAAAAACTTTTGGGATTTCAGGTCCCCTTGCTCCATTTTGTACCGTAAACATGGTCGACCATGACATGTCCATAGCTCTATGGGCCCTAGAGCCACACCCAATACGGCCCAGTTTTAGATAATGTAAAGCAAGTAGGTACTCAACTCTGTTCGTATAATCATCAAGGAACATTTTATTCTCCACGACCTTGTTGTATAAGATAATCCCGAAACGTGTGTGGTTCGAGGAAAGCTTCAAGTTGACCATTAGACGCGATACGAGTTCTTTAGGATTTGGGTTTGCAAGATCTACCGAACAGCCTGTATCTATGGCAACCACAATGTCCATGCAGTACTCATTACGGATGGCTACAAAATAATTATATACACCGTATTGTGCTTACTTGTTAAATGTATACCAGATTTTTTGAATATGAGCTCTGAATTGTAGTTACAATACATTATATCAATGTCAAAAATGTACAGTACATAGATAATTAATATTGTTGAAACATTTTTTAAGTAAATCTATTATTCTTAAAACTTACCTATTTGAGATGACCATTCTATATGATCTAGAAATAAAATCATAAAGATAAAGACCTGTTCTTTTTTGCTCGACATGTTCTCCTTATTTTTACTTATTCCTTAAATGTTTTCATTTCAAGTGGAGGTGAAGTTAATTGCATGGTTTTAATTAAAACTAAAAACAATAAACAGTTTTTCTAAATGAGAACATTTTTTAATAAAAATGTTTTCTCTTTCATTTGAATTCTGCTAATTGTATTTTAATCAAAATAGATATTGAAATCTTGATCTTATTAATGAAATTAGCTTTTGTAATTATATTTTAAAGGATGTGTTGTCAATTCCGTACTTAGTTTATTCAATTATCATGTTCTTCACTGTCAGCCATGTTTAATGGAATTTATGCACTATGGTTCACAATTTAAAGGTATTGTTAATTTTCAGCACCTGGCAGTATTTTTTGTTGAGTTTAAGTAGGTAGTACTAAATTAGTGGTACACCTTGTAAAGAGTAGTGATATCACAGTACAAAAATATACTGAAAACGCTCCTTTCAGTACAAATATATCACCATTCAGAAGTACATGTACCTAATAAAAAACTTGAGGTCTACTAGAGTATTTTTTAAACAATAGACGTTTCTGATAAATTATGCCATTTTTAATCCATCGGAGAAACTTCGATATATTGGCTAGATTGATGATGTCATAGGTTGTACTTTTTCAAAATTAGCAATAAGTATATACTATTTTTGCATAGACAGATTGCTACCTACAACCAATGGCATCATCATTCTGGTCAATATCTTTCTCTGATTGACCAAAAGATGGCATGATTTACCAGAAAAGTGTATTAGATTAAAGCCACATTTCCATCTCTTACATTCCAGGATCTGGTTTGGCTTTTGAAGTATACCCAGCAGCTGTTGCTGAGATGCCAGTCCCACAGCTGTGGTCTGTATTGTTCTTCATAATGCTGCTGTTAGTTGGCATAGACAGCCAATTTATCCTTGTAGAGACAGTGATCACTGCAATTATAGATGAGGCACCCGCTTATCTTCAAAAGAAACGTATATTTGTTATACTTGGTGTCTGTATTTTGGGCTTCCTCTCGGGCCTGCCTCTTATAACCCAGGTAATGCAGGAGGTATTTTTATTCATCAATTCTTTTCATTTACAAAAAGACAATCGGCTTGATATCCTCTTTGATGAATACAACTTTCTATTATGTACCATCGGCGGGATATAGTCGTCATAGTCGCCGTGATCATGATCGTCCCACTTTTTTTGTCATTGCCATTTCAGGAAAACCACTCATCAAATTTTCTCCAAATTCGCACACATGATAGAGGATATCAAGTTCTAGAGCTGATTAACTTTTGGGCGGCCATCTTGTTAAAATTATTATTAAAATACGGTAGATGGCTGATGCTTGAATATTAAACATTATAAAGTAAAATAAAGAAATTGTAACAAGAAAAAGAAACGAGAGAAAAAAAGAAAAAATGCAGGTTTAATGCATAAAAAATGGATAGATAGAAGTAATAAAATACAGAATATAAAAGTAACATTGAAAATAGAAGATAATGAAAATGATTTGAAATCTCCTCTTTCAGGGTGGAATTTATGTGGTTCAAATTATGGATCTGTATGTCACAGGGATCTCTTTGTTTATTCTTGGATTCTTCGAGACCATCGCTCTTGCTTGGGTATATGGCTTCAATAGGTTTGCCAATGATATAGCAACTATGACTGGAGATAGACCAGGACTATGGTGGAAATACTGCTGGAGGTTCATCACACCTCTTATAACTTTGGTAGGTGTATGTTTAACATTTAGTTTAGAAATAGTTTAGTTAGTTATGTGTCATATATATACAACATATTAGAGATCTAGTCTAGAGGTTTTGGGATTGTTTCCCACAAAGGACCGGTTGAGTGACTTTTCCACATCAGTCCTTAGCACTGATTTTGTTCCTATGTCACAAATTTACTACATTTGTTAACAATATTATAACTGAAATATATCAGGTGTTTCATTAGCAGCAGGCAACAGGCGATTTTCACCAATTGTTTTCACAAAATCTCCTGTTGTTTTTATGGACTTCTCAACTTTTCCCTGTTAAATTTATGATTTCCATTAATTTTGCCTGTTGCTTTCATTTATTTAGCCGGTTTTGAGAAATTCTAGTGAAACCGCTGTATATAATATGAAAAAACATACAATTCGTAAATGAGTATACACTCAGTCATTGCAGACTTATGAGACACTGTGAATATAGGTACATGTATATGATTATTAAGGAGTTAGAAGGGATAGAGAGTGTAAATGTTTGCAGCAGTCATTTCAAAAATCTTTCCCATGTTTCCCTTACAATCAGGAACAAAATGTGTAATGAAGTCTCGATCTTCATAGTATTTCCAATGGATTAATAAGTACCTAATCTTTCATTTGACACCAAAAACAGCTCAAACAGATCGCATCAGAGTTGACACTAGATCTTGAAAAAATAAGTTTAATCTATCAAATTTGTGTCAAGTTTTTAGCAATGCCATTGAAAGATGGCATTGTTGTTTGCATTAATTATCCATTCATTTTTGATAGGATTTTCAACCATAAGCCATCTTTTAATCCAAGATTTATTTAAAAGATACACTTTGTGAAAAGTGGTAATTCACTTCTTTTGATCTCTGAACTTCAAATGCTGTTTTCTATGCGAGTAATTTTTTTCACTTCAGTATTTACCTAAGTTAAAGTTTTTATATTTGATTGAGTGTGTGAGTAACATGTCTCAAATAATTTTTGGTCCTTTTTGCTTCAAAAATAGGCGCATTGCCTGTTTAATATTGTTTCTGAGAAATGAATTGAGATATTTGGTCAAATATGGAAGTTATTGAAGTCTGAAAAAATAGAAATGTCCAAATTCATACTTGCTTTGAAGTATCACCTTATAAAGTAACACAACACCAGTCAAGATATTTTTTGTTTTAATTGCAATTCATTTATATAAGAACATATCATACATGAGTGACCCAGCTTACATCTTAATATCTCATTTTCTCCAGTTTGTGGTCGTGTTTGCTCTGATAGACTACATCATGGACCAGGACCCTCACTGGACTATAGGAACCAGCTACGAATGGCCAGCTTGGACTCAGATCCTTGGTTTTTGCCTTGCTCTCGTTTCCATCATCTGGGTACCTCTGTGGGCAATAGTCGCCATCGTACACACACCTGGCTCCCTTAGACAGGTAAGACACAGTAAAACATTACTTGATTAGGTGAATGCCGTTAGTACCTGAAAATAGTGATCCATAAGGGCTGCGTTCCACTTACAGAGGTTCATGATGTTTACAGTCTCCAATTTTTTTGTGGACAGTTTTTGATGGTCGGTGGTTTGTTTTGGTTGTTGAAGTTTGACAAGTATTGTTTAGACTGATTTTAAATTTTTACTGTCAACATAGATAGGGAACGCCTCCGTCCGTCCTTCCGTCCGTACATACGTATGTACGTCCTTCCGTCCGTCCGTCTGTCCGGGCAATAACTCAAATGCCGTTGGCCCGATGTTCATATTTTGTACACATATGGGGGTAGAAGTTCTGCTTGAAAGCCTATTTTCAAAAGGTGCAATATGTAAAACTGTAATAAAACTGTAATAGCAATATGTTTTAAATGTAAAAAAATTATATTGGACATTAATAAAGCAAGAAATGTAGATATTAAAGAAGCACATGGCAGACATCTTGAAAAATGGCGGCTTTTACTTGTTATTTTACGATTTTTGCTGTAACTCAAAAAGAAGTGGAGCGATTTTGTTCATATTTGGTATGTGAATACTATAAGCATGGCACACTGTCTCATGACACTTTTGGTAGAAGGCCGCCATTTTGAAATATGGCCGCACTTGTGAAAAATGACCGCCATTTTAATGTATTTTACTATAACTCGAAAAGTAGTGGAGCGATTTTGTTCATATTTGGTATGTGAATACTATAAGCATGGCACACTGTCTAATGACACTTTTGGTAGAAGGCTGCCATTTTGAAAAATGGCCGCAATTGTGAAAAATTACAGCCATTTTAATGTATTTTACTATAACTTGAAAAGTAGTGGAGTGATTTTGTTCATATTTGGTATGTGAATACTATAAGCATGGCACACTGTCTAATGACACTTTTGGTAGAATGTGGCCATTTTGAAAAATGGCTGCCATTTTAACTTAATTTTACTACAACTCCAAAAGTAGTGGAGCGATTTTGTTCATATTTGGTGTGTGAATACTATAAGCATGGTACACTGTCTAATGACACTTTTGGTAGAAGGCGGCCATTTTCTAAAATGGCCACCATTTAAACGTAGTGGAGCGATTTTGGCGCCATTTTAACATATTTTACTATAACTCGAAAAGTAGTGGAGCGATTTTGTTCATATTTGGTATGTGAATACTATAAGCATGGTACACTGTCTAATGACACTTTTGGTAGAAGGTGGCCATTTTGAAAAATAGTTGCCATTTTAACATATTTTACTATAACTCGAAAAGTAGTGGAGCGATTTTGTTCATATTTGGTATGTGAATACTATAAGCAATTTAAGCATGGCACACTGTCTAATGACACTTCTGGTAGAAGGCTGCCATTTTGAAAAATGAACACCATTTTAACGTATTTTACTATAGCTTGAAAAGTAGTGGAGCGATTTTGCTCATATTTGGTATGTGAATACTATAAGCATGGCACACTGTCTAATGACACTTTTGGTAGAAGGTTGCTGCCATTTTTGCTAGATACGTAAATATGCCATCCATGTCTGTTCGATGGGATTTGCTATGCTTTGGCGTTGCTGTTGTCTAGTTATCCATAAGAAGAACCTTTGTCACCACAGTCCAGTTTTCTGTGACACGAATACATCCCTGCTTTCCGTTATTGCCTCTATCGCTTCTTTTTGATAGAGTTTCAAAGAATTCATGATCAGACGAAATTTACCGCAAATTTTTTCAAACAATATCTCCATTTTTATTCTCTGAATACTGGTTCATGGGCCTAATTTAAATAATTTCCTCAACTGTGATTGGCGCACGGGCTATCCCGCACACTCCGCGAAGCATTTCTACGAATTAGATGCCACATATTACTTGGGTCTCAAGTTTGTCATATGAACCAACATTATAGAACGTAGTGATTGAGCGTGGGAACCGACGATGCTACTCAAGATGAAGTACCAGATTAGATTATTTGCATATTACTTTGCAGAGGCTACATGCTGTGACTTCTCCCCTGGCTGACTGGGGTCTTATATTTGATAACCATAATGTAAAAAGTGAAGTACCAGATTAGATTATTTGCTTATTACTTTGCAGAGGCTACATGCTGTGACTTCACCCCTGGCTGACTGGGGTCTTATATTTGGCAACCATAATGTAAAAAGTGAAGTACCAGATTAGATTATTTGCTTATTACTTTGCAAAGGCTACATGCTGTGACTTCACCCCTGGCTGACTGGGGTCTTATATTTGACAACCATAATGTAAAAAGTGAAGTACCAGATTAGATTATTTGCTTATTACTTTGCAGAGGCTACATGCTGTGACTTCACCCCTGGCTGACTGGGGTCTTATATTTGACAACCATAATGTAAAAAGTGAAGTACCAGATTAGATTGTTTGCATATTACTTTGCAGATGCTACATGCTGTGACTTCTCCCCTGGCTGACTGGGGTCCTATATTTGACAACCACAATGTAAAAAGTGAAGTACCAGATTAGATTGTTTGCATATTACTTTGCAGAGGCTACATTCTGTGACTTCGCCCCTGGCTGACTGGGGTCCTATATTTGACAACCATAATGTAAAAAGTGAAGTACCAGATTAGATTGTTTGCATATTACTTTGCAGAGGCTACATGCTGTGACTTCTCCCATGGCTGACTGGTGTCCTATATTTGACAACCATAATGTAAAAAGTGAAGTGCCAGATTAGATTATTTGCATATTACTTTGCAGAGGCTACATGCTGTGACTTCTCCCATGGCTGACTGGTGTCCTATATTTGACAACCATAATGTAAAAAGTGAAGTGCCAGATTAGATTATTTGCATATTACTTTGCAGAGGCTACATGCTGTGACTTCTCCCATGGCTGACTGGTGTCCTATATTTGACAACCATAATTTAAAAAGTGAAGTGCCAGATTAGATTATTTGCATATTACTTTGTAGAGGCTACATGCTGTGACTTCGCTCCTGGCTGACTGGGGTCCTATATTTGACAACCATAATGTAAAAAGTGAAGTACCAGATTAGATTAATCCATATTACTTTGCAGAGGCTACATGCTGTGACTTCGCCCCTGGCTGACTGGGGTCCTATATTTGATAGCCAGCCTACTAAAGATGAAGTACCAGACTACATTGGATGTATGTCACCTGAAGAGGAGGCTCAGTTGGAGCAAGAGAGAAAAGCTGCAGAGGCAAGCCTCTCTGTGTCAATGTCTGAGGAACAAATATACTCAGAATTCAAGGTCAGAATATAAACATTCTAGTTCACTGTTAATTGTATTTTTCAACCAGGCTAAAACAAATAAAACTCAGAATTCAATGTTGGAATACAAATATTTAAATTAATTTTCATTTGTTTTTCCAACTATGAACTATGAACATTATGTCCAATAATATCTACTTTGGCTCAAGTTTTGCCCCGCCTTTTAAAGCCTTGCCTAATTTTGGTATCTTGGCTATACTTGATACTTCTGTATATGATAAAGAGGAAAAATATAGCATCATTAAATGACTCGCTAAGATAGAGTTTGTATTAATGCTACCAGGGCTACCAAATGAGAAAGTCTGCGTTGTACTTTGCGGAGGAGATTGATACGGGGAGTATAGATTGGGAGACTGATGAGAACAAGGATCGCGGGAATTGGTCCGGTCGCTATGACTTTCTGCTTACTTCTTTGGGTTATTCTGTCGGACTTGGCAATGTGTGGAGATTCCCTTACCTTGTGTATAGGAATGGCGGAGGTAAAAAATAAACTCTAAGGTTTATCTATACATTCACTGCTTTCACCGTATTACGTAGTATCCATTACCATTATAGTTATTGAGTGATTCTAGGTTTTATCTATACAATAACTGCTTTCACAGTATTACGTAGTATCCATTACCATTATAGTTATTGAGTGATTATAAAGATAACAGTATGATCACTTTTAGATTAACACCTTAACCCTTTCGATGATAGGCTCCATATGAAGCCCTATTATATAATACCTTTCATTGGCTCCTTTTGGTACCATTGTATTTATTATTAGACTCCAGATTGAAAATCTGGAGTCTATTGTTTTTGCCTGAATTCTTCTTCTTATTTTTATTCTTCTCCTTAGCACGATTTCTCAGTAACTAGAAGACTTAAGGTAAATCTGATTACAAGGTCAGTCAGGGTATGTGACCTAGTTTCTAGGAAATTAGGTCAAATTTATATCTAGGTCAAAGGTCAAATTCCAGGTCAATTTTTTTAATTTCACACATTTTCAATTTTCTTTTTTATCTTTCAATATTTCTTGCTATAAATATTTTTCTAGGTTTCTCTAAGTGTTTCAAACATTTTGCTAAATATATGTCTTGATAAAAAAATTATCAATTTTGAGAAATTTGACTTTAAAAAAAAGTCGAATTTTAAAATGGGTTAAATCTATCAGAATTGGTATTAATTAAATAGGAAATTTCCTCAAGATTTCGAATCTGAAAACAAAATTGTGATCCGACTTCAGGTTCAGGAGCTCTGATCTTTTGAAATTTTGAAAAAAAGATTTGATGATATCCCCATGTCATGTCAATCGGGCCGATATTTTTTTATTTCTCATTAAAATCAAAGTTCAAATTAAGGTTTTAATAGAAAATTTTCTCAGGATTCCGAATCTGAAAACAAAATTGAGATCCGACTTCCGGTTTTAGAAGTTATGGGCTTTTGAAATCTCAAAAAAAATCCCACCGCTGCCACCAAATTGTAACAATCTCAACCCTTTCATTAATATCAGATCTCAAAATGGTTTTGAGATGAACAATCTGAATCTGGAGTCTTGAATTGAACTTGTTCAATTTCACCAGTCTAGTTATTTATATACATCAATGAAATGACAATATTTCCAGTTCTATTCAATGTTTTTACACCAAATTGTGACAAGTTGTTCTAATGTGATAATCCTTACTAATAATTGTATTTTAGTGATAAAATTCAAGGTATAGGTCCCGGGGCATTGGTAAAAACCGCTCTTACTTACCCGTCACCAGGCCAACATTTTCCTCTTATATTCATGATGGGAAGGGGTTAAGGAAGGATAGGAACAGATATGAATCACTGCGCCCTCTATCAATCAGCCCTCAACCTGTAGCCATTATTATGTTTTACAGCCTATGGTGCCCTCTGAGCTTTTTAACCAAAGTGCAACACTTCAACCTAGTTCATATTTCCCCGCTTTTGCCTCAAAATACGAACCCAAAAAATCATTGTCTTTCTCTAAAATTTTTTGAAATAAAACTAAATGTATGTATTTGGCAAAAATGAAGCTCGAAAAATGAAAATTTGTGAATTCCAATGAAACACCCTATTGGGCTATGTAGCTAATCCTATTATATTATGTAGCTAGCCCTATTATTCTATGTAGCTAACCCTATTATTTTATGTAGACAGTAGTCCACCACCAATCCAACATGTGTTTAACTTTAATTTCAGGTGCATTTTTCATCCCATACATTCTTATGTTGGTACTGTGTGGGATCCCATTGTTCTATATGGAACTGTGCTTTGGTCAGTTTGCCAGCCTTGGACCCATCTCAATATGGAAAGTGTCACCTCTCTTCAAAGGTAAATAATCTTCCTTTATGATAATGTATGTAACTCATCATCATTATTATCCCACCGAACGAAGTTCGAGAGGGATATAGGAAAGCCGTCCGTCCGTCCGTTCGTCCGTCTGTTTGTCCGGGCGATAACTCAAATAACGTTTCACGGATTTGATTCAAATTTTATAGGCTTATGCCTTATGGGTGTAGGACCTCTGCTCGAGAAGGAATTTTCAATATGGCCACTGAATTCAAAATGGCCGCCATTTTTCGTAAAAAATGTAATCTTTAATAACTCAAATACTAGTTTGCGGATTTGGTTAAAATTTTATATGCTGATGCCTAGGGACACAGTAGATATGTTCGAGTAAAAATTTTCAAGATGGCGGCTAGATTTCAAAATGGCGGCCATTTTTCGTAAAAAAACTTAATCTTTGATAACTCAAATACCAGTGAACGGATTTGGTTCAAATTGTATATGGTGATGCCAAGGGACACAGTAGATCTGTTCGAGATACAATTTTCAAGATGGCTGCTGAAATTCAAAATGGCGGCCATTTTTCGTAAAAAAACATTATCTCTGGTAACTCAAATACCAGTGAACGGATTTGGTTCAAATTTTATATGCTTATGCCTAGGGACAAAGGAGCTTCGCTCAAGATGGGATTTTCGAAATGGCCACTGATTGTCAAAATGGCGGCCATGTTTCGTAAAAAAAACGTAATCTTTGATAACTCAAATACCAGTGAACGGATTTGGTTCAAATTTTATATGATAATGCCTAGGGACACAATAGATCTGTTCGAGAAAGAATTTTCAAGATGGCAGCCTGATATTCAAAATGGCAGCCATTTTTCATAAAAAAAGGTAATCTTTGATTACTCAAATACCAGCGAACGGATTTGGCTCAAATTTCATATGATGATGCCTAGGGACAAAGGAGATCTGTTCGAGAAAGAATTTTCAAGATGGCGGCTGAATTTCAAAATGGACGCCATTTTTCGTAAAAAAACGTAATCTTTGATAACTCAAATACCAGTGAACAGATTTGGCTCATTTTTTATATGATGATTCCTAGGGACACAGTAGATCTGTTGGAGAAAATTTTTTCAAGATGGCGGCTGAATTTCAAAATGGTAGCCATTTTTCATAAGAAAAAACGTAATCTTTGATAAGTCAAATACCAGTGAACAGATTCGGTTCAAATTTTATATGCTGATGCCTAGAAACTCAGTAGCTCTGTTCGAGAAAAAATTTTAAGATGGCGGCTGATCTTCAGAGGCTTCAGAATGGCTGCCATTTTTCATTTTCGTAATCTTTGGTAACTCAACTGCCGTTCGGTGGGATTTGCTACTCCGTGGAGTTGCTGTTTTTCTAGTTATTTTATTTTTTACCTTTAAGTTCATTTTTAACTCCCTTTGACTGTTGTATGAATGCTGGATGTCCTCAATTGGTTTTGTTAAAAAATGTTACTAATGTGAGAAAAAAGCTTAAATATTCCAGCAATTTAACATTTTTCAAAGGTAAAGGATGGGAAAATAATTTTCTAAAGCCAGATTTTATCCTCATTGCTTTATAGGCTAATTGATTTAGTTAAATTATATAGATAAATTAAATACTTCATGAAATCCTGTTGTTTATATTTAGCTGATTTTTTTATTTTCAGGTATTGGATATGGCAGTTGTTTACTGACTGTATCCGTGGTGATCTACTATACAATGTTGATAGCTTGGAGCATGTTCTATCTCTTTGCATCTATGACTAATACACTACCTTGGGGCTCCTGTGATAATATATGGAATACACCAGGTAGGTTAACTTACTTGCATTCAGGGTACTTTAGGTTGATATACTAGCACAAGAGGAGGAATATCCCAGAATTCATAGATGAATGTATCTCTATGTAAAGATGAACTTTTGCATTATATGGAGATATGTTCATCTATGAATTCTGGGATATTTCATCTATGAATTCTGGGATATTTCATCTTTGAATTCTGGGATATTTCATCTATGAATTCTGGGATATTCCCCCCCCTCTATTACTAGCACCAGGTCATTGGTGTTTGACCAATAGGTGGCACAGTGGTCAATCTGTTCGATACAGCAAACAGACTGATCTCTGCTCAACCTATTATCCAAACATCTATGGTTAATGCCCCAGAGGTCTATTTTTACCTGTTATTCGTAATCTGTAACATGTAGAACTTACAGTATATATGGCTATAGTCTTTTTCCAGAGATCAGGCTGGTTTTGTTTTCACATCTCTTATGTGAAAATAAGCACAGTTAGACTCGGAACAGATCAGATCTGGTTCAGTCAGCTAACTTGTTTGTTCTCCATCATGTATGGAAAGGAATGCAATGAACATGATGTCATTTATATATGGATCACAGAAAGTACATGTGCACCTTATGAATTCAGTTTTTTTTTTTATGTCACCACTAGAAGTAATAGTCTCCAACTTTTTTTGTGCTTGGTGGTTTGTGTTTGGCTTTCGATGGTTAGGGTATGTAACCAATGGCAGGTGGTGACATTTTGCATGTTAATGCCTTGTTGTCTTGATGATTCCTTCTCTTACAAAAATGGCTCCCATTAGCGCAATATTTTACACATTTTGTACTTGTATGTTTCAGCCTGCAGAGAAGTCAGTAAGATGTTATCTCAATTAAACTGCTCAGACTCAACAAATATCACCTTGACAACAGCTCAAACAACTACTGAACTAGTTAGTCCTGCTTTGATGAATGCTACTGAACTGGTTGGTAACAATGAAACTACAGGGTGTCTCAATAATGACACTTGGAAATCTGCTAGTGAGGAATATTTCTAGTAAGTGTGTCATAGGTAAAAAAAATGAAAGTACACCTTGTTTAATTTGACTTAGATTTTGCCATGTTAAAGAATCTTGAATAGCTGAACATATTTGGCCAGTGAGTCCCAGTGACAATCACATTCAATCGATTTTTACTGTACAATGTACTTTTTCAGCTATAATGTGCTCGAGAGGTCTGATGGCATTGACACAATGGGTACAGTACGCTGGCACCTTGCTCTTTGTCTACTGGCTTCCTGGATACTTATCTTCTGTGCCAACATCAAAGGAATCAAGTCAGTTGGTAAGGTATGTATGCTTTTGGCTTGGGAATCATGTCAGTTGGTACGGTATGTACTGTGGCTCATGGCTTGCTCTACTGACTAAGATGTTATAATGTAAGGAATATTCTGTTACAGTGATAATACTTATAATACTATTTTCACTTGTTTGTAAAATCTTGAGTTCAAAAGTTTACAATTGTATTCCTAGCATGAATTGAGGCACTTGCAAAAATTGCAAAAACATGAATACGCAAAAAGAGACAAATGAAAATTGTTCATAGAGATTCAACTTGTTTTACAGAAATTGAATTTAATTATAGGTGGTTTATGTGACTGTTGTGGCACCTTACATCATTTTATTAGTGTTTCTTATACGTGGACTGACACTCCCAGGAGCCCTAGATGGTATAAGGTAATTAAAACTTAACTTTTGAAGACAATACAGTGATTTCACCACCATTTGAGAATTTTAATAGCTTGCATATCATCTTAGTTTGTATTTATCCCACTATTGGTCAGAATTGTGAAATAGAATTTCAAACTGCTAGATTATATAAAATAATGTTTAGCATACTTACAGGGTGGGCCAAAAAAATGGGGACATTTTCCCATCTATTGTAACTTTTGTTAGTGATGTATTATTTTATTGGCACACCCTGTACCTTCATTTTTATCAAGTTACATAATATTAGTATATAAGGTCCATGCAGTATAAGTGGGTCACTTTTTCACCGAAAAGTCCCTAGATGTGGGTCCCATTTTGAATACAAAAACCCATTTTTTTGTTTTATAATATGAAAGTAAGGTATATCAAACATAAAATTGAAATCAGATCCAACATATGATGTGTATTAAAAAAATATTGTTCAACTTTAAAGGCAGCTACTGTGGGTACTGTTTAACAACATTATTTTAGCCTATTTCAAATACTTTACCAGATTGCGACACTAAAATGAGCTATTAACAGTTCATACATGTATGTAAACTCTACTATCAAACCAAACTAGTTCTCACTACGTTCTCGAAAAGGGGCTTCAACTGTGTACGAACGGACTGGACGTACTTAGAACCATTTGGGGTCTATTTACAAACTTCATCAAACATACTCGAACAGGTAGGTCCTCTAGAACTTAGAACATGCTCAAAATGTCATCACGTTCTACAATTAGAACGAGTGACAACGTACTAATGACGAGCTGGACGTACTACGAACGGAACCGTCGTACTTCAATCCTACTAGGGACGTTTTTACAATGAGTTGAACTGTCTGAGGACGTATTGAGAACGAGGCAGAACTAATTGCAAACGGGTTTAAACTGACTAAGAATGTATAATTAAAGACTGCTTATGAACGAGTTAGCAAAAATATAGCTATCACACCAAACAAGCTGCCACTGTGTTCTTCAAAACTGGTTTTAAACTGTGTGCGAACGGAATGAACGTAGCTGCAACTTTCTAAGGTCTATTTACAAACTTCATGAACTTTCTCAGACGGGAAGGTGATTTTAGAATTTTGAAATGATTCAAAATTCGATGGCGACCATACCGTTCTGTAATCAGGTCATGATGACCTTCTAGACTAACGGATGCGTTATATGACGTTGCACACTGTCGTGGTGCGACCTGAATGAACTGCGAATGAGATGGATGTATTGAAGACTGTTTTTAAACGAAGTAGCTAATTATTTAAGACATATTTCCCGACCACAGCCAGATTGAGCCCGTTTTACGACGTTTTCGTAGGACTGACAAGAACGGGTAAGAACTAGTTTGGTGTGATAGGGGGTTAATAACATATTTTTGATTGAAACATGTTTTTTGAATTTTTGTTTGGGACAGGGTATGAAAACATTGGTTTCAAAATCTATAAATAAAATCAAATGGATTTACAGTTTTAATGTTTCCCTCAGTACTCAATAGTTTTGTTAGGTCCACAACAAGATATATTTAATAATAAACCGTGCATAAATTATTTTCTATCCATTATTATGCTCACAGCTTCTTATTTACGAGTACATTTTGTTATTGCAAACATTAAATTGACAGTTTTAAGCAGGTTTTAGCGCTTTCAGATTTATTATCCCACCGAACGAAGTTCGAGGGGGATATCGAGAAGCCGTCCGTCCTCCATTCGTCCGTCCGTTCATCCGTCTGTCCGTCCGTCTGCAGTCAATTGGAAGAGGCAACAAACAGAGTTACCAGCCTGGGAAATAAACTACAATGTCAAGGTTACAGGAGTAACATGCTAAATTCGTATACTAAGAAAGCTATAACAAGAAATAAATTGATATGTATTAAATACAATATGCAGGAGAATATCATCATGAAGTACTGGAAAATTAACGAGAGAAGAGAACATTAACAAACGAATATGAAACAGTATATTCTTCGCAAAGAGGGTAAACTAAGAAGACAGATCAACACAAGAACATCAGTAAGGGAAAGGGAGAGTTTTCCGGCCGGATCAAAACGTTTAACCCACCTATGCGCAGTCTCAAGTCTGTGGACCCTGAAGAAAGATAACTAACATCACAATCAAATCAAGACAAAGAAAGAAGACAATGAAAGAAGAAACTAATGCAGCAACAACAAATGACGTCCGTCCGTCCGTGCGTCTGTCCATGTGTCCAGGCAATAATTCCAATACCGGTTGACGGATTTGGTTCAAATTTTATAGGCTTATGCCTTATGAGTGTAGGACCTCTGCTCGAGAAGGAATTTTCAATATGGCCACTCAGTTCAAATGGCCGCCATTTTTCGTAAAAAATGTAATCGTTGATAACTCAAATACAAGTTGACGGATTTGGTTCAAATTATTTTGGTTCAAATTATTATGCTCACAGCTTCTTATTTACGAGTACATTTTGTTATTGCAAACATTAAATTGACAGTTTTAAGCAGGTTTTAGCGCTTTCAGATTTATTATCCCACCGAACGAAGTTCGAGGGGGATATCGAGAAGCCGTCCGTCCTCCGTTCGTCCATCTGTTCATCTGTCCGTCCGTCTGCAGTCAATTGGAAGAGGCAACAAACAGAGTTACCAGCCTGGGAAATAAACTACAATGTCAAGGTTACAGGAGTAACATGCTAAATTCGTATACTAAGAAAGCTATAACAAGAAATAAATTGATATGTATTAAATACAATATGCAGGAGAATATCATCATGAAGTACTGGAAAATTAACGAGAGAAGAGAACATTAACAAACGAATATGAAACAGTATATTCTCCGCAAAGAGGGTAAACTAAGAAGACAGATCAACACAAGAACATCAGTAAGGGAAAGGGAGAGTTTTCCGGCCGGATCAAAACGTTTAACCCACCTATGCGCAGTCTCAAGTCTGTGGACCCTGAAGAAAGATAACTAACATCACAATCAAATCAAGACAAAGAAAGAAGACAATGAAAGAAGAAACTAATGCAGCAACAACAAATGACGTCCGTCCGTCCGTGCGTCCGTCCGTGTGTCCAGGCGATAATTCCAATACCGGTTGACGGATTTGGTTCAAATTTTATAGGCTTATGCCTTATGAGTGTAGGACCTCTGCTCGAGAAGGAATTTTCAATATGGCCACTCAGTTCAAAATGGCCGCCATTTTTCGTAAAAAATGTAATCGTTGATAACTCAAATACAAGTTGACGGATTTGGTTCAAATTTTATATAATGATGCTTAGGGACACAGTAGCTATGTTCAACAAATAATTTTCAAGATGGCTGCTTAATTTCAAAATGGCAATTTTTTGTAAGAAACGTAATCTTTGATAACTCAAATACCAGTGAACAGATTTGGTTGAAATTTTATATGATTATGCCTAGGGACACAGTAGCTCTGTTCAAGGAATAATTTTCAAGATGGCGGCTGAATTTCAAGATGGCAGCCAATTTTCATAAAAAACGTAATCTTTGGTAACTCATATACCAGTGAACGGATTTGGTTCAAATTTTATATGATGATGCCTAGTTCACAATGGTATAAACTAACTTTGTGCCAAATTTCATGCTTCTATCACAAAGTGCACAAACATTTCAACATTTACACTAGCTATAAGATGCATAATATATGTTTTGTTCGGTGGGATTTGCTACTCCGTGGAGTTGCTGTTTTTCTAGTTCATTTCATGATAATCTCATACTGACAATTATTAACAGTTGTCGAAAAACAAAGTAAGTTTCATTAGGATGAGGAGGGGGTAAATGATTTTTTGTTTGTAAATAGGGTTGATTTTTAATATTCAAGTGTAAGAGAAATTAACATTTTAAACTTTCCTTTGATAAGACAAATTAATATTTTAAAATTACCTTAGATAAGGGGAAGAGGATCAAACCATTATTCAAAGTTAACTTCAGTTTCCAGTAACTCGACACCATCCCTCTTTTACACGAGCATCTTTTTAAGTGACATTAATGACTTTTACTGTGACCTTCAATTGATAAATGTTCAACATTTTGACAGGCAGGGAGTTGCTTTTGCTTAATAAACGTATTTTTAAACAAATTGTACACATATGTCAATTTTGAACAGCGGTTTTCAATGCACAAATCAAAACAACAGTATAATAATATTTGCCATCTACCTTTGATTTAAATATAACAAAGACATATTTAAGACATTTCTCTAAATTATCACTTCTTATTAATTATGAGTAACTCTCATTTTGGATTTCTAATGCTTGACTTAGACATACAAATTAAAATTTGCGATACTCTTATACATTTACTTTGAGTTAAATAAAGCTATACCTCTGACAGATCTCGGAAAGTAACAAAAATTCCTAGTTTTCAGATTCATGAAAACTTGATTTAAGGAAATATATTTTGTTCATTGGGGTATGCTACTCTGTGGAGTTGCCATTCTCTAGTTAATGCAGCAGTTGCATAGTATTGAACAAATAATACAGATCTCTCCGAGGAAAATCTTTATAACCTGGCAAAGTTGATCAACAAAAATCTGCTCAGATTGATGACGATGCAGTTAAAGGGAAAATACATAAGTTGCTACGTAATGGTCAGTGCAGTGCTTCTTGTAACTCTGTATCTAACATTAAAACACACGCAAAATAAGAAGAGCTACATCAGAAAGCATTTATCATCATTGATTGAAAAGAGGAGAAAAATACACAATAGGACGTGTGAAGTACACAATAGGACGTGTGAAGTAATGTTGAATATTATCACAACGTTTCCCGTACTGCAATCAACTTACGATATGAAGTCACATGGATTTTTAAAAGAATCTCACAAAAGATTTGAAAGTCGTCAAATGGACTTTATTCATTCCCTTTCATTGAATATGAAGCATCCATGTGTAGAGAAGATACATCTTCTCGTGGAAAATAAGGATTTGGAAAAGTATTTAAAATCACTGAGTGGAACATTGTTCTCGGAAGCTGACATAGACAGTATGGTTCATT